CAGTTCARGTCAAGCTCTAGGACTAATCAGTCCCCTAACGTTTCTCTCTTAATTAAGGAATCTTCTCCGACAATCGATGAGGCTAATTCTAGCCAATGCATAACTAATTCAATAGAATTTGTAGTAACAATATCTTAAGAAGAAGCATCAGCGGTATCCTTTCATGCAAACCCAGAAGGGGCCTTCTAGCATCTCGCCTTAGAATACCTCGACGATAATCAAGTATGTGGTCTTAACAAAGACAAAAAATACTATGAAGAAATTCTCCTTCATACATGCTCTACTAGAATCCAACACTACTACAGAGATCCCAACAAATCAGAGATAGCTTATTCAAAGCTAGTAATTGTTAAATTTATGACAAAGGCATCATGGGGAGATTCCAGCAAACCAAGATCCAACCCCAAGCCAATAGATAACCTAGAATGTTTAATTATTAGGACTATAAGATGCTTGGTATAGAGTGTTCTTGGTCCAGAAATCCATCTTCAAGCATTCATGGTTCTTTCGATTTTTTGAAGAATTTCAGGGGCCATATCTAGATTGGGTCAATGTTTGGTGGACTACGTGGGGAGCATCAAACGTCATCTTCTCCCCAAAAGAAATTACTAGACAAATACTCACACTTTGGACAAGGAAGAAGTTACTTAGAATTTGATCATGTAAAACTGTTTGAATTGTTCAAAACATATTGCCTCCCTTGGATTTTGAAATGGAAATATCATCTAGACACCTCTTTGATGCCCCTGACAATTGAAATGATTATTGAAATTAAATGGTGGGACAAATTTGATCTCACAATTTCCCTCAAGGCAGTAGAAGAAGATGACGTCTTTCAGGCCCTATTTAAATCCTACATGGAAAAGCTTAAAAGCAAATTCCCTGACCTCAACCCCATTGAGCTCGAAGGGATGTCTCTTCAATTCACGAAAAAAATGGAAGAAAAAAACAAGGGAATCTCAAAAGATATAGAAACTGAAAGTGTCCAGTCTCTCAATCCCCACTAAGGGATAATCATAAAAGGAATCTTATTGTTAACAGACAGCTTTCCACTAAAAGGTTTGCTCTTATCTTCAATAGTAAAGATTCGTTGAAGATAAAAGAAGCATCTCTATCTCATCACTTTGTCTAAAAAAGACAAAAGCAGTACAACAGGCATCTCAAATGGATGCTCTCAAGATAAGTTCGAATCCAAAAAAGAGATATCTCGAAGTTGCACTCCTATCTATAAATAAGGATCAATTCTCAGGAAAAGGGCGTGCTGAAGTTATCCGAGTGTTCAAGAGTCCAATAGTCATAACTCCTTGAGTGTTCTTAAGTCTTTCTTGTAATCTTTGTTGTGAAAACCCTTGAGTGAGAATTTTGTAACCTTTTAGTAATATTGCTTACTAAAGTTCTTTGTACTAAAGCTCTGTAAGTGTTCTACAACTGTACTTTACCTTAAGTATTTTCTATGTTTAGAGTTACATTTTAGTCTAGATTTTTGCCGAAGCTTTTATTCTACTTTACTGTTTTTTGCATATGCATATTGCTATATTCCATTTTAGTATTAGAGCCAAAACCCTACAAGAATCAGGATTATTAAATCATTAGATACTGTCTAGAACCTTTGGCTAGAACACAAAGCTGTATTGCCCCCCATCCCCCGGAGAGATCACTTGGCTAGAACCCAAATTGTTAGACTAGTCACCTAACAGTTCCCCCAAGGCTAGAAGAACCCTTGCACCTAGGGTGAAGTCGCTTTTGGTGAAAGGCCATTGAAGTTGATTACCTGTTAACGGTTAAGGGGAAGGATAAGATGAGGAGATTGTTTAGGTTAGGATCTAGTAATGGAAATAATCCTAAGGAATGTAGTACAAGCTCATCCCTTACGAAGTCTATGTCTATAAAAAACATGGAAGAAATAAATTATAGTAATATCGATATGTAAAGCCAATTTAGAAAATAAATCAATTTCAGAAAAGAGATTGGAAGAGTTTGGGGTAACGTTTAATATATAGAGTCTAGCGAGATGAGATAGACTCTCATTCTAGCTTTTAGTAATTGAAATCTACTCCATTAAAGAATAAAGGCCTAAGGATGGACTATCCTTCAATGTAGGAGAAATTAACTTGGAAGGTAATTCTAACCACCTAGCTATTAAGCTAATATACAGGTGAGTTGGCTTTATACCACTTGTTGCCCAGATAGCCTAACTCAAGAGGGGGTGAATTGGGTACTAAAAAGATTTTCCCCTGTAGGCTTGGCACTATGAAGATGGTCTAAGTTTTGGAGATAATGAGTAGGATGTTGGGAAGGATAATGATGTTAGAGACAAGACTAGTTTAGAGAGATAAAAATGGAAATCTCAGGAAATAAAGGACAGGGTGATACTAGGGTTAGAGAGGTTAGAAAATGACTCAAGTATGAGTAGAATGAATTATTATGAAGGCCAAAATAGTGGAATCAATGAAAAGGTCTCTCTTTTTCACATTATGAACCATGTTATTTATAGATGAGGAGAGGGCTCACTTCATGCACGGGCAAGAATTCTAGAATATTCCCTAGGTGGTCAAGAGCTTTCTAAGGATTGAGAATTTTAGAATATTCTTTAGGTAGTTAAGTATTTTAGAATTTTAGAATATATTCGCTTTGATTCTCATGCCCGTAATCTCCTACTAGCTATGTGTCATCTTTGGGGAGACAATATCTGTTGTCCAATCAACATTTTAGTTATTTTGTTCCTTGAGCTATAGTTTCACTTTTTTTTTTTTTTTTGCTTTTGTCTTGTGTATCATGAAAGGCATATGTGGTTCATAGAACGTCTGCAACTAGCCTCTATGAGAAGAGTTTGCAGTTTTGTTCAGGAGAGTGAGTACTACTAGCTATGTAACTAGTCATGTTATTATGGCTAGTCCGCAATGATACTTTAGTATTATATAAGTATATCCTCCCTGCTCAAGAGTGGGTTTGCCCAATATTTTGCAAAAATCAGCTTGATTATAAATACCAATTAACCCCCAAAATCCTGAGGAATTTTTGAAAAAAAAAATAGTGCATAGAATTCTAAGGGTGGTCAAAGGGAAATTTGTGGTTCATAGAACTTGGGGGTCTTTTTGGTAATTTTGAGTGTGGTCGTGACAGTGGGGGGGTATGGTCTTCAAAAGTAGAGGGATTTCTACGAGTATTTTGGAAATTTGATTTTCAATGTGTATCGCAAACACAATAACTAATCATCAAACTTTTGGGCTTTCTGTCAGTTGCATTAAATTGTGGCGAAACTTTTTGAATATCTAATGATGGCAATTAAATATGCGAAGCGTTGTTCGTGACTTAATGGGTATAAAAGAATAAGAAAGAAGAATCTAAGACAAAAATAATCCTCTTGTTTCTAAAAAAGACATCTGGTCCATAACAACATTTTCTCATTCCACCAATTTTTATCCATTCTACAATAAAAACTTTATTATTGGAGAGAATGAACAATAGAACCATTCGTGGCCTATAATGGTAGCTCTTGTGCTTGAAATTTTAATTTGTTTTATGTGCAATATAAGTTAGTTTTCTAATGTTTTGATTCAAAATGGTCGTAGGGTTGCAACTTGGTCCAATCTAAGCTTTTTCACTAGTTGGGCATGGATCTTTGGGCAGCAGGTTGAAGCCACAAATACTTACATAAATACATGCCAATGATGTAAAATGAATATTAGACACAAAGCCGGATTTTTTGCCGGGTTATGAGTGTAAATCCTTAGTTCAAGTCCAACAACTTACATTTTATTCAAAATATGCACACATTTAATTAATCAATATATACATTAAAGAGATGTAAGTCTTTTTTGTTAGCATACATACATGCCAAAGGGGTTATAAAGTCTTTTTATTAGCATTTGTAGTGATTTAGTGATCCAAGTGGGTTGTAAAAATAGGTCGGGTTGTTGAATGGTTCCATCCAGTTCTATGGTCTAACCATCGGATCTACTCCAAAATTGGGCCATATTATATGTGCGTTGGTGTTGGCTGTTGGGTTAAATTCGTTTCGGGCCTGGATTGATAAATTCGGGTTTGGCCTCCCAACATATGCAAGCAGCCTTAGGGTCGGGCCTGGGTTGATCTCCACCCGACGCAATCCTAAATGGTCAATAAATGGCGCCGCATGTGCGGACGTCACTCCTGGGTAAGTTGCTTAAGATAACTTGCTCAGATTTTTTCCTTTCGCCACGCGGCGTCTGTACGATAAGCAGCTCGAACTATTGTCATTCGTTGGTTGTTAACAACCAAAGTCCAAAATTACCACTGCATAGTTTTTCAACGGTTCGTGCATTTATCCACCACCCGAGCTGGCATTTTCAAAATACGAAAGGATATTTTCGTCCATGAAAAGTGAGGGCAGGACAACCTGTGCCCAACGAACAGTTTTTTCGGGGTCACGGAAGACGGAAGGTCCTAAATTAATGATAAGATTGAGAGAGAGAGAGAGAGAGAGAGAAATTCCTGTTGAGATTCAGATTTCGGACAAACTACTTTTGGCGGAGACGATTTTTACGTTTCCACTCGTCTCATAAAATCTCGTGCAACCAAACAGCCCGCGGGGCGCGAGTTGCGTATTACACACTCCAAAGTCCAAAGTCGAAACCACCCGTTATGGTTTTCCGGTTCCCACTTTCCATCCACCATGTGGAAAAGTATAACGTGGGGCTCACATATGATAGTGCAATGGGACTGGAGTCTATTGTAGACAACGACTGGCCATTTGATGCACTTGACTATCGTGGAGCCCACTATTTATTTCGATCTGAAGTCCGTTACGTGTTGATTGTACTTTTTGCACAGAGTGGCACGTTGTACAGTATCATACAATGAGTGTTGCGACGCGCGATCAATACCGTTCCAACGTTCAAAATTTCAGCAGCAATATCTCGCAAAGAGAGATATCGGGCTTTCGCGGACAAAATATCGAAATTCAAAATTCCGATTTTCGAGGGTATAAATCTGTTTACATTTTGGAAAAATCTCTCTCTAGATTCTCTCTCTCCTGTCTTCCCTCTCTGTTCCTTGCAGGCAATTTAGCTTCGCAACTTCAACTCAGTTGGAAGTTCCCGATCTTGACTCGGTACGGACACCTGAAAACTCTGGTTCTGTTTTCTGTGCCTTGGTTTTGAGCTACGGTGGGTCTATGTGATCTGGGAATTGAGGTTCTGCACCGATACTAGGGTTTCGAATGCTGAGAATTGAGGGAATTCATCAACAACTTCGCTGCAACACTGGGGGTTCGAGTGTTCGCGGGTATGGTTGCGTAGAGGTTTGATTCCGTGGTAGCAATGCTGAATTTGGAGTTTTTTCTGGAGTTGGTTTGATTTGTTTTCTCAGTTCTGGAATTTTTGGGCTTGAAGGTGATGTGAGAGCTGGGAGTCTCTAGGGTTTAGCATTTGTTGAGAATTCTACATTTTTTGAGCTTGGGATCTCAAGGTTTGGGCGGTGGAAGAAGTTGGAGTGGAATTTGGAGTTGTTGAGAGTTTGGTGCTTTGGATGGGTTTTTAGGGTTTGTTCTGTGAGCTGCGAAGAAAATGTTTTATTCGCAGTTTATTTTGGCCAAGAAAGGGCCGCTTGGAACGATATGGATTGCGGCGCATTTGGAGAGAAAACTGCGAAAGAATCAGGTTGCTGATACTGATATTGGTGTTTCAGTAGGTTAGTATCATTTCTAATCTTGTGCTTTAGCTTGTTAGCTTTGATTTTTTTCGTCTTACTTTAAAATCAGCAATGAGAAGCTTTTGAAGCTTATCAATTTATTTGCCCCTTCCTTTTACTTCTTTTAAGCTTGAGGCTTGGAGTAGAATTGCTTAAAAGCAGAGGTTAATTTTCTGTCAAATCTACAGAGTTCCTCTCAAACTTGTATACTAAAATTTTAGTATATTTTAATTGTGTGCTCGTGCTATTCAGTTTCAGTTGCCAAACGGCTACAGGGAACTGTTTTGGACGGATCCTTTAACTTTTGACAATAAATATTGATTTTTAGTTTCCGTGGATGTGTTGATATAAATACATGCGAAGACCTCAATTTGTTGTCTGTTGCATGAGGACAGAAAATGTGTTTAGAAGACCCTAACTAGGTGCAGCTTGTATAAGATGGACTGCTCTTAGCTAGTGAACGTAAACGTGCAAATTATTTATTTTTGTTGCCACTTAAAAACAAAATGAAATTTTGTTGCTTAACAAACGTCTTTCACCAGGCTTCGTTGAGTATTTCCTGGTAGCATTTATTATATGGAATTACTAGGAAGGGATAGTTTAGGATAGATAAAGTAATGAGAGCTTCCCAATCAGATCTGTGGAAAGAGGTCATACAACACCAGTGGTTCAACAAATCAGAGACATACCTCTTTGCAATGAGAGGACCGTAATTTACTTTCTTAAAGGATTTTACTGGGGAGTTTGATAGAAATAATCCTGAACCCACTACTTATCTCTATGGATTTGTTAATCATGTTTGAATAGAAATGCAAAAATAAAGCGGAATGCGATGAACTCCAGAATTCTGCTCAAGAGAGGAATTCCAAATTGCTAAAATTGGCAGAATTGCATCTTTAAAATCTACATGTTTTTAAATCAAATCTATTATCAAATTGCTGCCAACATAGAAAATGGATTCTTTTGGGGCATTCCAAATGCAACTTTTTCTACAATGTTGAAATGAGTGGGACAGCTATAAATTCTAGAATCAGAAATAAGCATACTCATAGGAATATACGAATAGCCTCAATAGGTGAAAAAATGAGGGAAAGTAGATTAAGATGGTTTGGTCATGTGCAGAAAAGATCACCTACAGCATGAAAAAGATGTTACCTATTGCAAGTTGAAGGGTATAGAAGGAGTACCGGCCAAAACAGCTATAGGTTGAAGTAGTAACTGTGAAATGGTTTGAGGGCCTATAATTTAGCAATGAATATGACACTGAACAAGCAGAATAGCAGAAGAGGATTCACATAGCCGACTCTATATGGTTGGGCCAACACTTTATTGAGTTAAGGTGAGTTGTCTTATTTTTATTGTGAAAAAGTAGCATGAGTTATTTCATTGAAAGATAAGATGTTAACATTAAGATAGTAACTCCTGAAATGGAAAAGAATTTCTAACCATAGACAAATTATCACAAAATGAGCCTTGCACACCTATATTGCCTATATATGACATAGAAGGTGGATATAGAATGATATTCACGTACCCCTGTGCCTTTTCCAACTTGTGCCATTTGGTCTTGAGCTGTGCCACCTCAACTTAAAAGCTTTTTGTTGAGAGGTAGTGCACTTAAAAATTAATACTTGTGAGGTCTTGGAAAAGTGAAGACCTAACTGATGTCTCTCTTCACATTTGTTTTTTTGTAAAGCAAATGATGAATAGCTATGGTAATGCCTCACTTATCTCCTGCCTCTGTACTTCTAATATTTGGGAGCATGTTTTTCTCCTTTTGGTTCCAAGTGGTTTCATTTGGGAAATGTAGGATGTCTGCTTGAAGAATCCTTCTTCAACCTCTCTAAGAGAAGAGGGGAAATTCTTTGGAAATGAATTAGAGCAGCTACTTTTAGGGGAGGAAAGAAATGCCAGAATTTTTAAGGAAGTGTGCAAGGCCAAAAGAAATTCTCTTTGACAACTGTGTCATAAGCACATTGGATGAATACTCTGCCACTTTTTGATGCTTTCTCCTCGTATGATACATTGAGGGGCTGACTAAATCTTCCTCAACCAAAACTTTATATCCATCTTCTTGGTTTCTTCCTAATGAAATTCAGGTTAAGCTTAATTTTGATGGCAGTAGCTTAGGCAATTAAAGAAGATCGAAACTTATTGGTGGAAGGGGATTCCTAGACAGTTGTGTTGATGTTATAATAAATTTTTGTGAGGACAGTGATAAGCAGCAAGTAGAATTCTGAGGTGGGTGGTGGAGCATTTTGACAGGGTGGCTAACCTTAAGATAAACTTTGCTAAAAGCTGCATTAGCTGGGGTCTATGTGTGTTCCTAGCTTCTTTTGCTGGAATCCTAAATTGTTCTTTTAGTTAGTGGCCTATGAGTTACTTGGGTATAATGTTAGGGACCAATTCAAAAGAGAGTAGATTCTGGAACCCTTTCATAGAGAGATTTAAGAAGAAACTGCATCTCCTTAGGCGGTAGAATAACCTTAATAAAATCCACTCTGGTAAACCTTCCAATCTACTACTTGTCAGTCTTTAGGTTTCCATAGAAGATTGCAAAGACGAGGGGTTTCTTATGGGAACTGAGAGAAGGAAAAATGGACCACTTGGAAATATTGGAACTATGAATTTGGTGCTCTTGGGGTAAATGGTTGTGGAGGTTGCCTATTGAAAGTGAAAGGTTATTGTGGAGTAAAGTGGTGGTAAGTGTTCATGGGACATTGGGTAATGGTTGGGATGTAGGTATATCACATTGGGCTACTTTGGCTTCCTCACTGAAGGCTACACATGGTATTCATCCAAAATTTCATAATTTTATATGGTATTATGCTTGTTTAGGAATACAATTAGACTTTGGAAAGACTTATGGGCAAGGTTCAAAGTATCGATACGATACACATTTCGGCCGTATCGTATTAGTACTTAGAAACGGCCGAAACACCTTATTTTAGTTTTTTTTTCAAAGTTTGGTTTTTTGGGAAGCCTAGAACGTGTTTTTTATGATTAAAAAAAGTTGGGGGTCCAAAACACCTGGAAACAGGCATTTCAGACCGTATCTTTTTCAAAAGATACGATATGATACGCCCAATACGGAGCGTATCGTGTTGATACTTTAAACCATGCTTATGGGTGGGAAACTCTCATCTAAAGGACATGTTTCCATATTTTTATTCTATCTCCACTTTAAAGATAACCTATCTTGAAATTTGTGTCCTTGTCATCCTCCTCCTCACCCAAGGGTTTTGATTGGGACTTGGGTTTTTGAAGAGGGTTGAAAGATTAAGAAGCTTCTAGTGTAACCTATTTGTTGAAAGCCCTAGATGAAGCCTGTTTGCACCTTTAAAAACTAGTTGGGTGAATTTGGACTCCTCATCCTTTGGGTTTTTTCACTTGTGTTTCCTTTCTTATTGCTCTTGGACCCACTCTCACCCCACAACTATCTTTACTTGTTAAAGAAGAATGGGGTAAGCCTATTCTTCCTAAAGAAAGACCAAATTGGTGTATCATGAAAAGATCGACACATTGGACCTGCTAGAAAAGAGAAGATCACATTTGTGTTTATCCCCAAACTGGTGCTCACTTTGAAGGCTAGTGGTGAGACTTGTTATCATTTACTAATCTCTTGTCCATTTGTTACTTGTATTTGGAAAAAGGTTTTTTCTTTCTTCAGTTGTAGGTGGACAGTGCCTTCAAATATGGCAAAGTTGTTTTGTGTGGAAGATTTCACATGGCCAAGGAAATGGGGGAGGGTGTTATAGAGATGTACAAGGGCAGCAATTGTGTGGACAGCATGGGAAGAAAGGAAGTCAAGAATCTTCAAGTAGGAGGAAAGAATCAGGGAGCAATATTTGAATGTGTCATGGCTAGGGTAGTACACTGGGTCAAGTCCTTGGAGTTATTCTCATCCTACTCCATTATGATTTGTGGAGGAAGTGGGGAGAGGTGGCTGCATCCTCCTCGAGGAGACCAAAAGCCCATAAACAATGGACACCACCTGAGGAAGGCTTTATTAAATTAAACTTTGATGGGAGCAATGTTGGAAACCTGGGCCTATCAGGTATGTGTGGTGTCTTTAGGGACACGGAAGGACATATCATTGCTATGTTTCAGAGTCCAATTGGCCTAGGGAACTCCACAAGGGCTAAGCTTTATGCTGTACTTCATGGACTAAGATGGGCAAGAGAAATGAAGTTGACTAATTTAATTTAGAAGGTTGCTCCAATGTTGTAATTGGGTGGCTGAAAAACAGTGAGAAAACAGTATGGGGCTATAGGAATGAACTGAAACAGGTCAAATGGTTGGCAAGGAGCATGAATATTATGATACAGTGGGTGCAGAGATCTGCAAATGGTTTAGCTGATACCTTAGCCAACCAAGGGGTTAGCAGAAATCAAATGTATTGGGCATGCTTATAATTTGTATGGATTCTGCAGTGGTAGGATAGTTATTGCTACCCTAGCAAAGGAATGAATGTAATGCTCTTTGGATTGTCTTGTTATCTATGCTATATAAGTGAATACTTTCCTTAGTTTTGGTGCAGGCCATAAAAGTTAAATCAAAGTATGCTATTCTATAAGGATTACCCTGTCTTTACTTGAACACGTGCATAGCATGTGTCCTTACACTAGTCTTTAATAAAATGTTCAGTTTTTGATAAAAAAATTACTGCAAAACAATCAAGGACCATGGAAACATGGACATATCATGAGGGGCAACTGATGCTAGAACTGAGAGCTCAATTTTAATGGATCCAGACAGGTTCTCTAGCAAAGCAAGGGGTGGGATAGGGTTGCTGGATCCCTTGCTGTATACTTAAATTGGGGGAGGGGGATAGTGGGTTTCTTGGGACTATTGTCTGCTTGACACATTTTCCATTGTACACATTTCATTCTTTAATCACCAATTAGTAGGTTAACAGTTGCTTCTCTCAAAGAAAAAAAACTATTAACTGCCAATGCAGGAGGAAATAAATCAAGCAAGGCATGCAAGCAAAATTTGTAATGTATTATTTGTCCTTTTCTTTTTCCTTCATTTTTTCTGATCTTTACTTGATGGTTATCTGTTGCAGATTCAATTCTTTTTCCTGAAGCACCAATTGCATTGCGATTATCTAGCCATCTTCTACTTGGTGTGGTGAGGATTTATTCTCGGAAGGTCAATTATCTTTTCCATGATTGCAGTGAGGCTCTGCTTAAGGTGAAGCAAGCTTTTCGCTCAACTGCAGTTGATCTTCCACCAGAAGAATCTACTGCACCGTATCACTCTATCACCTTGCCAGAAACTTTTGATCTTGATGATTTTGAGCTGCCAGATAGTGCATTCTTTCAGGGGTCAGTTCTAATGTTCATTTTGTTCCTTGGAATAGAAGATATAGTCTGATTATTACTTGAAATTTGAATGCAATTGTGTTGGGTTAACCATTGAGTAAGTCGAATCTGAATTTCTTTAAAAGTTTAACTTCATCCAAACTGCTCTACTTTCTGTGGGCTGTTTGCCAGACATGCTAAATTTGAAAGAGAGAGCTATCCTCATGTGATCATTTTGATTTGAAAGATGGTAAATATCCATTATGTAATCCAATGGGTAGTATTTTCTTCCTGCATGTGTGCAACTGTGCCTTTACTTTTTTGATATTTAATTTATAAATTGGAAATACTGCTTATGACACTTGGGTTAAGGATAATACCTAATTGATCTGAATTAACTTTTCTACTTTATGCAGTAACTATGTTGATCACCATATTAGTACAAGAGAGCAGATTACACTTCAAGATACCATGGATGGTGTTGTTTATTCGACATCACAGTTTGGATTGGATGGTGGGTATTCCATATTTCCATTTGACTAGCTTGGTGATGTGGTTGGTTATATTGTAGTACTTAGATCTGATTCCATGATTGCTACGTTCATCCAGAGCGGTTTGGCGATGGTGATGCTTCTCAGATTGGCTTAGACCTTGATGAGGTGATTATTTAATATAATTTTTTAATAGATGCCTGTGCTCTATGTTATGGGTAATGATATGTATTGCTGCATAAATGGACATGATTTTCTAGATGGGTTACTTCTTTACTGCATTTGTTATCTGGATAACCTCTCCTACTTTAGACATGTGGATGCTTAGTGTAGCCAATACCTGTTATAAGATAAATGATTTTCTGCATTGTTGTTCATTTGTCAACTGATGTCTGCTCTATACTGCATCATGTGTTGGATCACTTTCCATATGATGCTAGTTTTAAAGTTCTAATTTGCAAATCCTAGTTAAAATACCATGCACAAGAAAGAGGCTTCATTTGTTGGGCTAGCTTGCCCCATGAATAGGGAGAATTGTTATGTACACATGGAACCCAGACAACTCTACAACCATTTTTTCGATTCCTTCGTCATCTAGAACTCTTCATTACTCTGGCCGCTCCTTAGAAGGCCATTCGTGATATTCTTCCTGCTTTCCTCAATCATGTCAGGTATGACTTGGCTTTGGGTCAGGAAGTTAGGTTTTGGGAGGATGTGTGGATTGGAAATATCCCTTTGGGTGAAAGCTTTCCTTTACTTTTTTGCTCTTTCCAGTCTTAAGGATACCCCTCTGGGTGAAAGCTTTCCTTCACTTTTTGGCTAGCACTCTCATCCTTCAGGGATGAACTAGAACTTAGGTTTCAAGAAGAACCTTAGAGAATCTGAAATTCCTAGTGTGTCTGAGCTTCTAGGCTTGCTGAATCCAGTGGTCCTGGGAGAAGGTGGTTTGGATTCTAGGGTTTGGGGCCTTAATCCCGATGGTTTGTTCTAATGTAAGTCGTTCTTTAATTCCTTGGTAGCCACCTCCCCTTATCCTTCTTTCCCGGTCAAGGAAGTTCAGTGTTTTCCCATCCCCCCAAAATTCAGTACTATCTTTGACTTGCTTCAAAGAAAAAGACCAAACTGATGTTTGTCCCCCAACTGGTGCTTCCTTTGTAAGTTAAATAGTGAGGCTGCTTTTCATCTCTTAATCTCCCATCCTTTTGTTAGCTTTATTTGGAATTGGTTTTCTTTTCTCTTTGGGTGCAGATGGTATTTTCCTGGTAGTTTGGTTTGGAAGGATTGTTTAGCCTTGTTTTTAGCTGTCATAAAAGGAGGGGCAGGATTTTGCCATTTTGGGGAGATATACTAGAGCAGCGGTGCTTTGGACAGTTTGGTAGGAAAGGAACTCAAGAAGGGGGAGGGGGTGACATGGCATCTAAGAAATGAATTCAGGCAATTTAAATGGCTATCAAAAGACATGCCAATCCAAGTTAAATGGGTTGGGCTCAATTGTAATTGTTGGTTGGGTCAGCTTTTCTGAAGCTGCAGTTTTTTCTTTTTCACAACCTCTTGTTATAATTATTTTTTCTATTATTAATGAAGCCATTTCTGTGTTGTTGATCTTTTTTATTTATCCAAAAATAATACATGTTCAAATTGTATGGACAACTTTTGATACTAAAAAAAGTCTGGATTGCTAGTATCAGTTGTGTCAATTTGCACAACTCTAATACAAGGTTGGGTATAGGGGTTGATATGAAAGGCAGGGTTGGGTAGATGGCCAATCCAGGGTTCTTTCTTTCTAATGGATAGTTGGGCTTAGCTACAGTATTATTTCACTTGGCAGAAATTCATATGATTGTGTAGAGAAATTCCCCGCTTGTCCTGATTAGGAAACCTTCTCCATATGCATATGTGTCTATGTTTGAGTAGTTTTATGGTTCAAATGGTTCAAATTCCAAATTTTTGGTGCTACTTATGTTATCAAACCTTTGAGAAAGATGGAAGGAAAGCACCATCCATGTCTTGTCCTGGTTTGTGCACAGAATCCTTTGTTTGTCTTCACTTTGCTATGTAGCGAATGGTTTAAGAATTAGTTTTTCATCATTGATTTCGGGTATTCTTCATGTGAAATTGGATTCCAGTTCTAGGATGGGGTTCAATCAACTCAAAACAACCTTAATCCCAACTATTATTCAAGAGAAAGTAAGAAGAAAGAGAGGAGAAAGATGAAGAAGAGAAGAGAAAAGAAGAAGTGAAGGGGGGGGGGATTTTGGAGAGTTGAAAATCTAAGCTGGAGACACCTAGTTCTTTATATATAATAGGTTGATAGATAATAAGAAGTCAAATAACAATAATATCAACAATTTGCGTTCTGTTAAATTGTAATTTCTGAGAATATTTATTACCTCTCTGGTCTTCCTCTTTCTCTTTTAAAGCTTTCTACTTGCACCAACCATCAAGTTATTCCTCATTGGTGCAGTCATTTGGTTGTTGTGAACATGACCAGAACCAGATCATCTCAATCATCTCAATCAAAATTTCCAGTCTTGCCATTCACCATCTCAGTATCCTTAACTCAGCTGCAGTCATGTTTGAACATGTTATTTCTTGATTGGCTTGCACTTTTTCCAAATTCTAGTACTGGTCTTATAAGTCTTGTAGATTCTTTTGTTGGTAATCTCTTACAGAATTTTCCTTTTAGTCCAGTGGTATACAGTAGGCATACAACATATTGGATGTACCCCTCCTCTTAAACTACTGTACTCTAATTCCATGGGCAACATTTGCTTTAATTTCTCCCTCATTATGGATGATTGATCTAAGCCAAGGTACTGGAAGTGGTTAGTTTGGGGTATTTCCTGATTGTAATACTTGTATTCTGTCAAGTCTGACCTTTTTATTAACAATTATTGCAAATGCGTAAAATGACTAAATTCTTGTGAAAGTTGTATATATGAAGGCATTTTTAATGATTTATTACAGAACGTAAAGATGGCTTGAAAATTGCATTGTTTTTGTCAATTATCAAAAAAAACAATTGCATTTTTTTTGTTGGATATACAAGGAAAAGAAAATATAACCCTTATCTAACTTTTGTGTAATTTGAAAAAGAAATTTGATCAATTTACCTTTCTTATTCTAATACTTATTAGTAGTTTTTGTTCTTGGTTGGTGCCAAGCAGGATTTGTTTTTAAACAAAGATAAAGCATCTGGGCATTCTGTAGCCACATTGGATATAGATGACGAGTAAGTTCTCTTGCTTCATGCCAACATTGAATATGTAGTCATCTTCTAATTTGCTTTTGGATGGTCACTTGCCTTTTGCTTAAACTATGCCCCTTTTATTTTATTTTCATTGACAGATTGGTTAGCGTGTAAACTATGACGTTTTTTTTCTTGATTAAAAATGGTTCTGATTGGTTGTAGTAGCTTAGTAGTTGTGTTTGGAAGGCTTTGCGTGACTGCTTATTCTGAGTCATTCTTACTCCATTGTGGTTATAAAGTTTTAAAGGGTTCTTGTTCATTGTCAATCATGTGGTTCCACAGGATTCTTTTGATAAGAGAAGATGCATTCTCTATTCCTGATACACATTTAACTGCACTTGACTTGCTTCATTTGCCTGAGAAGAAATGGTGAATTAAAGAAAATGGTGAAGCAGTGTAGAATATAGAGGATATCATTTATGTCTGCTACATGTTCAACCAGAATAGAGGTTGGGGGGGGGGGAGACTTACAGTGCAACCTTAAAGATGCTTGAGACATTGGGTTTCAATCCAAATCTTATAAACAAGGCTTATTACCCCATTAATACTGTCCAGTTGCAGAAGCAGTTACTAGTTCTAATTAAAATGTTGTAAAATGTCAAAAGAGCGTTAAAGATTTTTCTTTTTTGGTACCAAGTAAAAAGTCACTGACCAAATTATTCTCTGTTAAGTAATTAATTTAAATTGTATTAACCTCTAAATTCACACTAAAGTGTTTTGGTAAGGTGTAGTTTCTTTAGGGGATGACAAACAGTGGTATTTAACTTTTAAATTAAATTTAACTGTATTAACTTAGGGGCTGTTCGTTTCCTCTTAACTCTTATCTCTTAAGAGGAATCTTTTAACTTTAAGAGAAAAATGGTTGTTTGTTTCCTCTTATCTCTCATCTCTTAAAGTGCAACCATACAATTTTTTGTTTTCCAATGATACCCCCAAAAAGATTGATAAAAAAAATGATACCCCCAAAAAGACAAACAAAAACTCTCATATATGGGGTCAATATGGATATTTGATCATTTTCAGAATTCAGAATTCAGAATTCAGAACATTCTCTGCATTCAGTGTTCAGAGGAAAGAAAAATTCACCAATACCAATATACCTCTTAAGGTAATTATTGCACTTTCAGATGTCAGACTTCAGGGCAAACGAGCAGGCCCTTAATGTTTTAGCATAAAAAATTACAAGTACCATTTGTACATGTCTATGGTGTTTTGTCAAAACTTCTATCTGATAGATGATAAAATGGTATTAACATTCGATCCATTGGTGGTGCTGGATTTTGGGTTTGGTCTAGTGGTTGTTGTAAAATAAGAGTAAATAGAGGAAGAAGAAGAATTTGTTGTATTATTCATCAATCTAGTATGTATATATACAAGTTACAAATTCTATGTTAGGAAAGAATATATTAGGAAAGAATATATTAGGAAAGAAGACTAATCAAATTCCTACAAATCTGTCCTACAATCAAGGTAAATCATATCTCCCTAGTATTTATTTCCTATTTTA